TGGGCGGATGACGGTCGCGGCGGAGGCTCCGGCAGATGATCCCGGACGTGGCCTGGGGCGGTTCGGGAGCGTGGCATGCGCCGGTTCGGGGGCGTGGCTCCAGCCGAAGAGGTGCTGGGACCCACCGCGCTGAGCGGAGCCACTGCCCAGGGACCTCAGGGAGAACTTCTGCCGAAACCCCGACGGCTCGGAGGCGCCCTGGTGCTTCACCACGCGGCCTGGCATGCGGATGGCCTTCTGCTACCAGATCCGGCGCTGCACCGAGGACGTGCGCCCCGAGGGTAAGGCCGCAGCGGGGGCTGGAGGCGCTGGCCGCAGGGCTCGGCGAGAACCGGCTGACGGCAGCCCTCGCCTGCCCGCTGCAGACTGTTACTACGGCACCGGGGAGCAGTACCGCGGCTCGGTCAGCAAGACGCGGAAGGGCGTCCCGTGCCAGCTCTGGTCCGCGGACGCGCCGCACAAGTCGCAGTGAGTTGTCGGCACAAACTCAGACGGGAGCCAGCCGGGGCGTCGGGTCCCGCTATGAACTGGCTCCCCTCCCGCCCAGGTTCACTCCCACCTCCGCCCCGCACGCGCACCTGGAGCAGAACTTCTGCAGGAACCCCGACGGGGACAGCCACGGGCCTTGGTGCTACACCACCGACGCGCGGCTTCCCTTCGACTACTGTGCGCTGCGGCGCTGCGGTGAGCTGGGGGGACCGCCCTGCCCCCGCCCCACCCCTACCTCCCAACCCCCACAGCCTAAGGCTGGCTTTCTGAACGGGGTGAACATCCGCTCTTTCAGATGAGGACCAACCACCGTCCATCCTGGAGCCCCCAGGTACAGACGAACCAGGTGCGGGTGGGGGTGCCCGGCCTGTGCCTCTCACCTGCCCGCAGCGGGAGTCACATGGGGCCCATCCTGCCCCCAGACCAGGTGCTGTTTGAGAAGTGTGGCAAGAGGGTGCTCCGCCAGGACCAGCACCCCTCCAGGCTGCGTGTGGTGGGGGGCCAGCCTGGGAACTCACCCTGGACAGTCAGCCTGCGCAACCGGTGAGGCCCAACAGCCTGCCCCCCCGCCCCCGCCACCCCCAGGGGCCGAGGCTGTCTGTCTGTGCCCTGGAGGGTGGGAACCTGTCCTGGCTCCAGAGGTTCTAGCTGAGAGGTGGCAGGTCCACTCCTGTGCGGGCCTCACTGTTCCCTGTACTGACCCTCACCCTCCAGGCACGGCCAGCACTTCTGTGGGGGC